CCCCAAAACCCCAAAACCCCAAAACCCCAAAACCCCTTTACATTTCTTTTGCACTGAAATAATAGCTTAAATTCCTCAAGAAGATTATTATTGAAGATTGGACTTAAGTGAGGAATACCAAGCTGGAACCTCAGCAAGGCTGGCTTTAGATTTACTCTTGAAGTTGATCTCGTCTTCTAGATCTAGATTTGAACGTTTGTGAGGAGACTTTGATCTACTTGTGCTCCTCATCTTGTTGGTGTTTGCAGTGGAGAACATATGCTTGCTCCCTCCAGTCATCTCAAAATGATTAGGCACAGTGTAATCTTCTCTTAATTTGCCACTTTTCTTTTTAGATTCAGCAAGCTTGGTTCTGAGAGTATCTACACTAATGTTCTTGCCAGTAGAACCTTTGATCATGTTCATCAGTGTTGATTGTAAATTGTCCAATTGCTTCCTTTTATTGGATAGCTTACTTAAGTCCTGGTTTAATGAGTTTACAGCCATCTTTAAAGATTTATTCTCATCTCTTAAAGATTTGTTCTCATCTTCTTTACTGTTCAGAAGTTTAAATGCTTTGTTTAGATCTTTCTCTCCCTTTTCGATATCAGCCATTAAGACAGAGTAAGGTTGGCTTGCTTTATCTGAAAGCCTCTTATACATTTTTGAATCTTCTAAAGTATTCCTCATTTGGGTCTTCATGTCTTTAACCTCTTTCTTTAGCATTTCACATTCTTTTTGCTTAGCTTGTAATCTATTAGCAAGAAGCAGACTTTGTTGAACTCTTCTATTAGCAGCAGTAGGAGCGGCTTTTACTGCATTTAATACTATATCGCCAACTTCTGTCTGTTCTTCCGATTCAGCAACATTAATAATAGCATCGTCAAGCTCCTTTTCGATAGCTTCGTACTGAGCTAATCTCTCCTTATAAACAGCTACTTGGGCGAGAGCGTCAGCATTTTTCTGTCTTTCAACAGCTTCTAATCTGTAATAATCATTTTTAATAAGATCAAGTTTCTCCTTCATTGCTGCATTTTCAATTTTAAGCTCTTTGACTAGAGATAAATTCTCTTCATATACACTTGAAACTCTATGAAGCTCATCACTCTTAAGTCTCAACTCTAGTTTGACATCACCTATTTCAGAGTCGACCATTCTCTCAATTTTCCTGTATTCAACTAAGATCTCATCATAAGACTTAGTCTTCTCAAGTAAGTCTCTTTCTGCCTTAGCCAGTCTCATATCGGACTCTTCCTTAGCTTCTTGGAGGTATTCAATCTTCTTCTCATAGACCTCGGAAAGGTTCTCTTTATGAAGCCTGAGATCTCTCTCATAAGCCAGCTTTATATTGTTCAGCTCCTCTAAATGCTTCTTTTGAGCATCACTGCCGAACTCACCTTGGCTATTGAGGAGACGTTCCAAGTAGTTCTGTGCATTCTTCTTTGCTTCAGACATTTCTTGGTAGATCTTGTCCTTCTGATCCTCAACTCTTTCAACATCAGTTTCGAGTCTTTTGATCCTATCGTGCAGAGTAGCATTCTCTCTTGTCAAGAAAGTCTTATCTTGATTAAGTAAGTCTATTTGCTTCCTTAGCCCATCATATTGCTTCTCATAGTCTGTTCTCTGGTCATTGACTTTATGAACAGTTTCTGATTGAAGCTCTGCTTGCATTTGGAGACTGGCATTAGCCTTTTCAAAATCTCTCAGTCTCTCTTTCATTGCTTCATAGTCTCTTTCTTTAATTTTATAACTCTCTTCTTTCATTCTGAGCTTGTTAATGGTTTCCTGGAGTTCTTTATTTCTGATCTGGAGCTCTTCTATCCTGCTCATGTAATCATTCTCTCTATCATTAAGCACATGGGAGACTCTGTCGGCTTCTCTAGCTTCTTTGGAGGCCTTTTCTTTATAAATCGTGCATTTTTCTGCCAGATCTTCATTCTCCCTTTTTAAATCTTCAGATTGATCTTTATACTTTTTGACAAGTTCATAAGCTTTGACTTGGACGAATTCCTTCAAATTTCTCTTATTTTCTGGAACAGATCTGAGATCTAGGTATTTATCTTCGCTGACAAGGAGAGTTCTGAGCTCATTTTTATACGAGTTCATTCTTTCTTTCATCGAAGGGCCATGAATGCCAAACTCTCTCTGATCACCTTGGAGTCTCTCTAGTTCTTCCTTAGTAACCTGTTTTTGTTGAATCATTTTAAGCTCATGATCTTTCCTTTGAGTTACATTATTAGCCTCTAGTTGTTTCTTTTCCCTTCTGAGTCTCTCAATGGCTCTCTCGAGCTCTCCACTCTTCTTATAGAAATTGGCTTTCTGAGTAGCCAGTTGAAGTTGTAAATAGTTATTCTCATGTTTGAATCTTTCTTCAAGCGCTCCTCTCTCCCCAATGTCGAGTTCTTGGCCAGAGCCAAAGGCTCCGCCATAAATGCCGACATCATTGGATATCACGTCCATGATCTTACGTTCATAGTCGTCATCACTATCGTGGTCTTCGTTGATTGCGTCACTTTCGGAGACGGAGAATCCTCCTTTGGACAAAAGAGCTTTCTCGTCTTCAGAAAAAAGGTCGTTGTCAAGAGGCAAATTTTGAATCATGTTCATAGCCATGGTTTAAATTTATTTTAAATTCAAAACATGGGATTTATTATGGGGTTTTGGGGTTTTGGGGTTTTGGGGTTTTGGGG